CTATTTGCTTAAACACAAATTGTGAATTGATTTTTTTCTTTGTTCAAAGATGCAAATTATGAATTTGTCGCGCCTATTTTTTTTTTCGTTTAAAATGATCGGCTCAATTGTTAATGATAGACACACTCACACACAAAATATAATTTGAATCATTCAGCAGTTTTGGTTTTAAATTAATTAAAAATGTATGGCCCTCGCCTCGTGATTTTGTTATATTTAATTGATATTATATTGTTATTTATGAGGCCTAGGACCTGTAATCAATGTAAAACCCCAACACTTGTAAAACCTAAATATTATAAAAAAAAAAAATAAAATAAAATGTATCCAAATATATATAAAAACATTACTTCTTTCTTCGATCCGTAATAAACAAATGAAGCAAGTATTATGAGAACAAGTTTATTGGTGTTTTCGTTTTCTTCTTACCATATGTATAAATGATATATCGATTGTATTGCAAAAATCATAGGACATTTACATGCAAGTTTAACAAATGCATTTGAGTATATATGCATGCATATAAATACAAGTGTTTAGTTATCTTACAGGGTTTGATTGTATTTTTTTGACAGAGAGATAAGCTGAGATTTTAATGGAGAATTAAGGTTAGTTGCAGCTGCGTCGGATCTCGAGTACATCGTCCAGCATGAAATTGCGTAAATGGCACAGGGCCTGCACCACATTTTCTCGGTCACGTACATCGGGGCCAAGCCAGTGCTCCGGCAGTTTAGTGTTTCCCACCTGGTTGGGATGCACGTGGGTTAATGATCGCCGCCAATTGTTGTTGCAGGCACTGACGCTCAAATGGCTGCCCGTCTGCAGGCTCTCAATGTACTTAATATACGCCTCGGAATGGATGACACGATTGGCACGGGGTGGCACAGTAACGAACATTGGCTCTGGAGGCGGTCCCGCAACAACGGTCTGGACCTGGTGTTGTTGTTGCTGTTGTTGTTGTTGCTGCTGCAGCTGCTGCTGCTGTTGCAGGTGCATTTGGTGCTGCTGTTGCTGCAATATCTCCGCGTTGAGCGGCGCTCGCGGTGACATGACATTGCTGGATGGCATCGACAAAGGTAGTTGCGGTTGATTCTTCTGCTTGCGCGGTATAAAGTTCTTGCTTCGTTCTGCGATGCTGAGCGGCTTGCCACATTTGCTCAGATGCACCTCGCGCACATGCTTGACGAGGCGCAGTACATTGGGGAACGCTTGTACCGACTTGCGAATGCGAGGACAATTGCGCCACAGACAGACGTACTCCATTTCAACTCCCGCTTGCGGATGCCGGTTGATGTGCCCGGTGCCATCCGACAAGCAATGCTCGGTGCAGTCGGCCATTTCCTCGAACTGAAAGTCGCATTTGTCCCATTGGCACTCATAGGTTAGTGGTGGACTAGCTTCCTGGCCCCCCATAGAGTGCTGAGGCAATGGACTGCCGCAGTTTTGGTTATCGTCAAGTTCACGGCGCATGGCGGCCTCTTCGTTCAGCTTGTTGGCACGATCCTCCCAGCTTTGCTTGACGCTGGCTGGCAGACTCTTCCACTCGTTGCCCACCAATCGCGAAATGTCCCCAAATGTGGCATCCGGATTGCTCTGACTTATGCCTGTAGATGAGAACAGAACCGTTTATATAGAGGAAATACTAAAAGCTACATTCACTACTTACCCTTTCGCACATCACTCGAGTAGAGAATATAGCCCGTGAGGCTCTTCTTGGTCGTTTTGACTTTTGTTTTAGAGGTAAGCGGCGTGGAGTTGATAGACGGTGCTGGGGACGATATTGCCACTATATCCGAGCTCAGAGAGGGTGTGTCGCCATCCATGGAATCTTCTAGCATGGCCAGCTCGTTCAACTCGGTTTTAACATCCTTCGTCGGCTTTATAGGCGTTTTAAAGTAGAAGATCTCATCCTCTGTAACCTCTGCGCTGTGCTGGAACTTGCGCAGATTGCCAACTACCAGATTACGCAAAGCCTTTTTCAGCTCATCGTAGACAGACTCACATATGTACACATCACTCTCAGCGATTTCAGTTGGCCGGGAGCTGATGAACTCGGCATACTCCAACACAGCGCATCGGCCCACGATGCTGATAACAGGACTCATGTCCTCAACTGTGCTCAGAAGCAGCTCCTGGCGGTAGAATTGCTTGCCCAAAGCCGGCGTTGTTTCGCTAGGCGACAGCAGCCATGGTCCCTTAAAGTACGACTTGCCGTTTATCTCCCAGATCTGCTGGACTTGGGCAACGGACTGCTTGCCGCTCTGCGTGGCCACATATACGTAGTCCCCGGTCTTGATGACACCGCTGCAAATGGTGTTGTACTGCTGATAGTACACACTGTTGGCCTGGGCGTTTGGTGGCGCGTCGCAGGTTACATTGGGCTTCTCCTTTTCGATTAGCACCTCCTGCAGCTTAAGCTCTTCCAGTTCACCCTTGTGCTTCTCGATCCGCTCCTTGAACACGGACATCACACGCTTCAGCTCCAATGGCGTTTCGCGCGGCACAAATCTCACCGAGGTGTTGGTGCTGTCGCGCGACGTTGGCCAATTCTTGAGTTTCTTGAAGCAGCGTCCCTGCAGGTTGTAGCGAGACTCACACACAAACACGTCCTTTTCGGGCAACCCATCCGGGCGTAGCTTAATATAGTCCCTGATATGCATGACGTAGCACATGCCCAACACCTTGTCCATGGATATGGTCTGCGAGATGCTGCTCTTGAATACCTCTTTTTCGAGGAACTTGCGAGTCGTGACGTGATAGGTCTCATGGGGTCGCAGAAAGATTGAGGCCTGCATCAGCTTCTCATTGGTCGGGGTAGTCCACAGCCGCTCGATGCATGCAATGCTGGGAATCTTATTGTCCGGCATCTGCACGTACACGTAGTCGCCAGGCGAGTAAACCTGCTGGTTGATTGTCATGCTTTCGCCTTTGGCGCTTGCATTGAAGTCCTCTTTCTCTTGCTCCTGGTCCTGCTCCTCTTGCATCAGCTTTTGTAGCCGCATGACCTCCACGTCTGCAAGCAATTTGTCCACTGTGAATGAGAGCGCCGGCGAACTCAACGTGTCCTTGCACAGCTCGTCTCTCTTTCGTATGAAATACGTTTGCAGCTCGATGGAGTCCTGGAAGACGTCCGAATCGGTGCGCGACAATTTACGCGCCCGCTCCAAGCAGGCAAATACATCCTCTTGGTATACGTCCAAGCGCTTATACGCGCCCTTGTCCAGGCGCCTCTTGATCAGATCCAGGGAGATTCCGCGTACCTTCGCACCCTCGCCCAATTCATCGTACTCGGGCAGCTCAGCCAAAGAGTCCGAGTAACAGCGTCCCTCTTCATCCTGGTGGTTGTAGACCGTCGAGAAGAGAGTTAAAAAGAGCTCCTGAACAGCCAACTGAACATCGGGCAGTGCATCGCGCTCAGTGCGCAATTGCTGCTTCAGCTGCAGCGTCAGCTGCTGCAACACCAATGCGTCCTTGTAGATTTGCGAGTCGGGCTCATTGTATTTGCAGGCATTCTCGAGCATAAGCAGAAAGTCCGCGGCGATTTCGTCCACGCTTTCGTATGCAGCCTGCTTCAGTTTTTGTGCGATTCGCTCCATGTCCATGGGATCCTTGATGATGTCATAATATTCCGGATAGTCGCTCTTTGACGGCAGCTTTGTAAAAATCAGCGACAATTGCCGCTTGCCTTTCGGCTCTTGATAGTCGCGCAGCGTTTCATAGAACTGCCAGAGACGTTCGCGGTCAGCTAGCAGCGCAGCCTTTGGCTTCCTTCCCAGTTTATATTTTTGAAGTGGTCTCTTGACCTCAACCAGGCCAGGAAACTCCTTGAGCTTTTCATTCAAGGCACGCTCTAGCGTATTGGCATCCTCGTATATATTGGAGCCCTCCTCGTTGTACTGTCGGCAATTGGAGAACATGAGTCGATAGTCAGAAACGACATCCTCAACAGTGGCATAGCGATCGGCTCGTATATTGTGCTCAATAGTGTTCATGTCGATGGGATTCTGTATTATGTCATAGTAATCCGGATATACCTTGCGCGGCGGCTTCTCCATAAACATCTCGATTGGCCGACGATTGCCCACCGTATAGTCCACCAAGTACTTTTGAATGCTGAGAATTTTCTTTTTGATGGCCGCGTTTATAGCAATTCGATTCGTTTTCGGTGAGTTTGAGTTATTGGACGTGTGCGCCGTACTGGAACTTGAATTTACTCGTGGTCTGCCCGGTTTTCGTTTTTCTGGCTGCACGCTGGTAGTGAATGTTTCATCAGTTTCATCTTCGTCCATGTCGCTGGTTTCCTCCAGTGACTCCTCGACCAGTTTTGCATTCATGAGTTTTTGCATTTTCAGTGCATCCTTGTGCGTGCGGTGCGTGACTGGAAATGCCTTCTTGGCATTGTCCAGCATCAAGTACAGGTCACCCGTGAGATCACTTATATTCGCATAGTCGCCCTTCTTCAGCTTTGTGTGAATTTGACTCATGGAAATGGGGCGTTTTATCAACTCAAAATATTCCGGATGAAAACGACGCACTGGCAGCTTCCACAAAGAGTGGCCTAGCTGCGGACCGGTGACCCCCGGATGCTCCGAGGTGCCAGGAGCATTATACAAATGATCAAATAGTGCCCACATGGGTCCCTCGCCTTTCTTGCTAGTCTCCTCATCGTCAGAGCTATCCAGTTCTTCTTTCAGCGCTATAATATAGAGGTTATTCAAGTTTATTTGGACATTTTATTTGATTTTTTCAACATACCTGATATAGCAGCACTTGATAAGCTTTTTAGGCGTCGGACTGGTTTGACCTTGCCCATCTCCAGCTCTAAACGTCGCTGCGTAAATATGCGCTTCAAGGCTTTGGCATCCTTGTAGATCTGCGACCCGGGCTCATTGAAGAGGCACGCATTCTTGGTCATTTGTAGTAGATCACGCTCCATTTCCACCAATGAGGAGTAGGCGTTCATTTGTATCTTGGTGGCGATCAGGCGCAAGTCAATGGGATGCTCGATGACATCATAGTAGTCCGGATAAATTTTCTTGGACGGCAGCAGCTGGAACATGCGATGCATAGCCCTGTCGCCAATCGGATCAGTAGCCGTCATGACAGATGCGAAAAGCTCTTCATACTGATTGTATTCCTCATCAGTGTCCCCTGCACCTGGCTCTGTGCTACTCGTCAGCCGACGCGCATTCCGAGGCGCACGTTTAGCACGTGGTTCCTCCTCCGCGAAGCCATTCGCTTCCATAATGCGCTGACGATGCGTCTGTATGTGCTGCCACAGAGCAACTGCGTCCTGAAACTCAGTCGAGTCAGGCTTATAGAATGCCTTTGCATTACTTATCAACAATTCTAGATCATTCATCATGTCGTACAGATCGTCGTACGAATCTGTTTTCAGTTTTTGTTGTACTTTTAGCAAATCGATGGGGTTTACCACCACGTCATAATATGAGGGCTCCTGACGACGTTTCGGAGCCCTAATAAAGGTATCACACAGCATTGATCCATCTTCCTTCTTAATGTTGCGTATCGCGTCGTACAGCTGTTGGCACAGCTCTGTTGGGTCTAAGCGCCGCTTTTTTCGCGCCGTTTGTGTCTGCTGTACCGGTGACTGTTCTGGCGTCGAGTCGTCAAGCAACAGTGGATCTTCGTCTTGCCGACTTGATATTGAGCTAGCACGACGCTTACGGCTCAACATATTCATGAAAATATTGCAGTTCTAATTTAAAAATAAGAAATTTATGCGACAACGACGCCACCGGAAAAATTAGTGATGTGCACTGTATAATGAAATGCAACTATCGCAATACGTTTTTTCATCCCTCGAATATATCGATTGCACTGTTTACTCAACAATTTGGAGGCATGCCAACTTG